GCTCCAAGCTGGAGGCTCACCCCATGTTTGAGGCCATCCCGGAGGACGAGGTGGGGCCAGGGCCCCAACCCCGCTCCCCACGCGCTTTTTCCTCTTTGTTTCTTCCATTTCGTGCACGCCAAACCTTGGGGCCTGCCCCGCCGTGCTGAGAAGCCGCCCCTCGCAATCGCATCCCTCGAGCGCGCGCCGCCCCTTGGATCGTGCGGCCCCTCCTCCCTCTCATGTGCCCCATCTTCAAGCCGCTCTCACGTGCGGATTATTCAGTGTTGCGTGTTGCTTGATCTCACAGAAGCTCTTGGGCAGAAAGTGCGGGCAGCAGGTGTATGCACCCTCCTTCCACACACACGCACACACACACACACACACACCAAAACACACACACACACACACACACACATTTCCGCACTCCTAATCAAGTATAAGCAGCAGCGCTGGGCATGCCCACGCCCCCCAAACTCCTCCCACCCCAGGTCGACGCGGATCCGGCCGCCCAGCTGCTGGCGGAGGCGACGGAGGAGGGGCAGAAGGTGGCGCGCAACGGCGGCACCACGCACCGCGCCGTTTTTCGGCGCAAGTGAAGCGACGCCAAGGCGCGTACGGATGTGCACACTCCCTACCCCTTGAGCAGCGTGCGCGACTGCTGGCAGTGCAGCAAGCGCGAGCATTGTAACACCCCGCCACCTCTGGCCCGCTGCTGTCGATAATTCAGGCAGGCACCGTGTACAAAAGGGTGCAATAGGTTTGCTGCTCTACAATCAACTTGAGCAGCTCAAGAAATCAGCCGGGCAGCTTTGTAACCTGCAAGTGGTGCTGACGTGGCCATCGCTCCCGCCAGATATGCATGCGGTTTTTCCCCTTTGGCCCATACCCTGCTGGTTTCCGCGCTGCCGCGCCGCCGCCTGCCAATCGGACGTTGCAAGCCGATACCTTGGCATGCTGAAAAATCTAAGCAGGCTCAACATTGCACGCGCTGCCCGTGAGGCCGCAGTCATTGACGCCAGCTGTCGCCCTCAGCGGCGGCGAGTGCGAGCACCACGCTGCTGCAAGCTATGCCTTGAACAGCAGAGCCGCTGGCCAGCAAGTGAAACCTGCTGCACAAATCCAAGTTACAGGCGCGCAGGAGCGGACGCCATTCATACTCAAGTACGCTACTGGTCTGTTGGGGCGGATCCCTTCTTGTATCTGCAGGTGTACTTGCTGCCTGCAGGTTGCAAGAGGAGGTTCGCGCGTGAGGGAGGTTGTGGATGGCTAGCTGGGATCTTTTGGGCGGCGTGGTGTAGCTGGCGAATTGTGACGCGGCAAGTAGTCGCTGCCTGGCACAGGCCCCTGGGAGGCTTGGCACGTGGTCAGGCTGGGCGGTTGCAGCAGAGGGGTCACAGCGCATTTGCAGCTCATCGACAGCCCCCCAACACCAACACTAGCACCCCAGGGTGGGCGGTGCCGAGCGCAGGCGCTAATGTGATGCACTCTCTTTGTGGGAACACGGAAACACGCCATCACACATCAACAATGAGAGGACCAAAGCCACGCAGGCGTGCAGCTCCACTCACTCCTGGTGCTCGTCCACCTGTCTCTGGCAATGCTCTTGGCGAGAGCTGCATCGTCACAAGATCAAACTTGCCCCGCCCTGCCGACCCCCTCCCTCTTTCACCCCAGCCACCACCTCCACCCACCCGCCCGCCCACCTTCCACCTTGACCACAATCCCGCCTTCGCACGGCTGCCGTCCCGTCGTCACCACAACAGCCCCGCCGCCCGCAGCTGCCCCAACCGCCGCCCTTGCCGCCGCGGGCGCCGGCCCCGCCTCGGATGCCGCCACCCTCGCCGCCGAGGCCGCCGCCGCCGCCGCCGGGTCCGTGCTCGCAGCACTGGCGGCGGCCGCCGCCGCCTCCTGGGCCCCTTGGACGCTCATGCTGGCCCCTGCGCTCGCGGCGGCCACGCCAGCGGCAGCTGTTGCCGCGCTGGTGGCCATGTTCCACCGCCCTCCCGGTCCAACATTGACGTTGACCAGCCCGTTGAGCAGCCACAGGCCAAAGCCGGAAGATTTGGTCACCGACAGATCCGCGATGTTGCCTCCCCCGAGCTGCGCGTGGGGGGGCAGAGCGCACCCACGCGTCAAATGACGCGATAGAATACAGCCCGCGGCGCAGCGAGCGTCGGGGGTGCGCAGAGCACTGGCAGCCTGTGTGTCGTGCAGGCCCATGTGTCACTCAACTCACAATTGCTCGCCAGCCATTCCCGGCGCGCACAAGAAGTGAGGGATCAGCTGCCCAGCAGGGCGCAACACCGACAGCATTGCCCGGCGTGAGTCGCTGTTGACCAGCTGGGGTGCTCTGCACACGTGGTGCTGACCTGGATGTCAAAGCCGCGACCGTCCCTGGCTATGCCAATCCCCGCAAGGGCCCCCAAGGAGAGCCCAGCATAGTCAGTGGTCAGGTCCACCTGCGCCACACAAGTTGGTTGGTCGAGGTGGAGGGGTGTGTGCAGTGAATGCTAGTTGTATCCAGGGTTGTGTCTGCACAAGCACTCGTTCACGCAAGCGCTCACTTACCTGCCATTGTGGGGTGCTGCTGCGCAGGTCCAGGCCTGCCGATCCAGTCGTGCTGCGTGCTGCCCGCTGCCAGCTGCCCGCCGTCCGCCGCCTGCTGACCGCTTTCGTTATACCGCCGACCTGCGGCCCACTTCCTGCGGCTGGCTGCCCGCCGCCCGTCCCCCGCAGCCTGCTGTACGCAGAGAAACACGAGCTATTCTTCCGGCGCTACCCGCGAGCACGTGCACAGACGGCGCAAAAACGCGCCGCGCGGGTTCCTTGCATTCTCAGCGGCGCAGCTCACCGCCACTGGGCCGACGTCCACGTGCGTCCCAAACTCCTTCGAGACATCGATGTTGATGAAGCCTGGGAGGTGATGTCAGCATGACGGTACTCTGGATACGTGAAAGTCATACAAAGCACACTCGCAGGCGTGGCTGGTCACGGAGTAAGGCCGCACACAAGTGAAGGGGGCCGGCCGCCCGCCCACCGGCCGACCGAGTGTCACTAGGGCTGCACAAGCCTGCGCATGGCGATTCGCATCATCACCTGTGTGAATGGCGGCGACTGCTCAACCTGCCGCTCCCGCCCCAACCCAGTGCCCCACCCCCCACCTGGGATGTAGCCGGCGCCGTAGGGGTCGTAGTAACCGCTGGCGGTGCCCCAAGGGTCAATGGATGAATAAGTGTCGCTATACTGATAGGCACCCGGGGCCTGCAGCAGCACGCGCCCGCTGGCTGTGGCCGATACCGCAGCCCCGCCGCTTTCAGCCTGCTGGTCGATGCGGCCGCGGGCGCTGCCGCCTAGGCCTAGGCTGCCTGGCACCGTCGCCGAGGTGCTGCTGCTGCCGCCGCCGGTGCTGCCATCCCCATTTGTGGGGGATTCCCAGTCCCCTTGAGAGGCAATTTTGCCGCCTCCACCTTGATTCTGTGGCAACTGTTGCGCGTTGCGCTTCGCCCCATGATCGCCGCTATCCGCATGCAAACTGCCGCGGCCTAACCGCCAGAAGCGCACTGCGCGGCGAAGCGGTGCAGGAGAGTTTTGTGAGATGTTCACAGGACCTTTAGACACCATGTTGGAATATGCTGTGTTGATAAGATGTGTGCTGGCGGCGCGCGCACTCACAGCAAGGTTTGTTGCTGCGGCGCGTTGGGCGCACGCACTGGCATGGGCGTGGTGCGGCAGCACGATTTATGGCTGAAAAGGAACGCATACGAAGTTTGCATGAGTTTGCACATGCGCATGTGCTCATCACCACAGAATCCACGAAACCCACATTTGGCGGCTGCTTGGGAGGTCGAGCCCAACAGGAGCAACAACAACAGGCAGGTGAGCCATGATGCACTTAGACGTCTGCAAATCATCTTAATCGGACTGTTGAGGTTGTCAGAAGCTCGGTGGCCTGGCAGCACAGTTTAGGCGCGCGGTCTAATCGCGTGACCTCCCCGGGACGTCGCAGCTTGCAAAGCACAATTCAGTACGCTTTAATCGAGACGAAAATATCCTATAGCGTCTTCAAGAGGGCTGGGTGGATGATGTGACGTGAAGCCACACATTGCCGGCCGCATCTTCCGCATCCGCCAAGGCAGCTTCCTCCTTTGCCGGTCTCAGCCGACAGGGCACCGGGCCTGCCCCATCAAGCCAGTGCGGTGCGCCTGACGCCGCACAATCCAATACCACAAACCGTACGTCCTCCCACCCCTGCATGCACTGCCAACCCCAGCGCAGCCCCCACACTACCTGTACACTGACGCAGCCTTGGATGCTGATACTAGCCTGCGAATGCCGACAGGTCACTGTCTGGTTGAAGGAAAGCACGCAGTCTTGCACCTACGCATGTGATGACTACCTTGGTCCGGTTTCATTGTCGCGCGCACGCTTCTTGCAACCGCAGCTCCAGGCGTGAGGTGTCCAAGACAAATGCCACCAACGGTCGGCGCTAGCGGCCGCCCTGTGGCACCCCCGCCGCACCCGCATCAACACCAACAGCAGCGCCACCATCAGCTGGTGTTGTGCAATTGTGAAGCATCAACAGCATCAGACAATCAATCACACAGTGATTACACAGTCAAGGCGTCACCAGCAGCCACAGCCGGTCCTGAGTCAGGTACACGTCATCACCACCCCCACTGCCGCCGCCGCTGCGCCCATTAGCAGCTGCCGATGCTGCGGTGACAACGTCCCCCAACCCGAGCTCATACAGCCCCGGCCGCACAGGCAGGACCCCTAGCCGCCGCAGGGCGCCCCCGCCGCCGCAGGGCACGGCCACCGTCACGCGCTCGCAGCCGCCCGTCAGCAGCAGACCTCCTGCGCCGCCGCCGCCGCCGCCGCCAGAGCCGCCGCTCAAGCCTGCAGGGTGCCCTCCGTCCAGCCCCCCGGCCCCGCTTGCCGCCGCCCCGCCAGCCGCGGCGCCGGGCGAGGCGTCGCCGGGCGGGGGCGCGGCTGAGAGGTCCATGACGGCTATGGACAGCTGCAGGTGTGCGTCGTGAGGGCCGTCGTTGGTCAGCCGCAGCTCGACCACCAACGGCTGGCCGACCTGGGGTCATCATTATGATTGTGGTGGTGGTGGGGAGGGTGGGAT